AAAAAAAAAAAAAAAAAGAAAAAAGAAAAACAGTACAGTGTAAACAAGAAAAATATATCACATAGAGTTAACAGCTATTGAGTACTGAGGGTGCAAATTGCAATATAGAGGAACTTGAGGGGGTGTTTTTAATTTTGAAAGACAGGAGGAGATTTTTGAAAGTATATAAGAAGAAATAGGCATTATCCACAAGGGGAAATAGTAGGCAAGGAGAAAAAATTGCTCACAGGACTGTCTGCTGAAAACTCGCTAGCTGCAGCAGCAGTGCTTCTCACAGAATGATGATCATCACCATCTTCAGCCCCAACTCTTTTTGAACCATGTTCTTCAATTTCTTCTCTTGAAGCTCCAACAGCTTCAAGATTTTCAGATTGCGGTTGGTCCACCTCCTTTCCCTTGCCCTTCCTTGCTGTAGGTATAGATCCATTGGCTACTGTTCCTACCGACCTGAAAAATTATAAATAAATCAATCAAAAGATAAAATAAAATTCCATGAGTATCTGGACACATCCAATACACATAGATGACAAAGGAAGGTAAAAAAAAAAAGAATACAGCTTTGTTTTTCTTTCCAACAGTATTCTACAAAATGTACATGTCAAGTGAACCTATCTCCTGTCATATATATAGCATTAACCACATTTTGGCTTTGTTTTTCTTTCCTAACACGAAAAGATCAACACTATACAGCTAACAAGTGCAACTTACTTTTTGTTTGCTCGGAGATTGTATCTTTTCTGGCCATGTTCTGTTGCAAGACCCCTCTGTCTCCTCCTTGGCCGCTCACCATCCTTGACGCTATCTGAATGACCTTCGGTTTGATTGTCACTTACAGTTGCTTGGGATCCATGAGGCCGATTTCGCTTTCTGGTGTTCTTTGGTGCTCCACCAAGATCAGATTCTGTTCTATCATCATTTTTTTGGACAGAGGTTTCAACATTACCATTTGTCTTAGAACCACGCACTGCTCGTATTCTTCGTTCTCTAACCTTACCTCCCTTGCTAGCTCGAGCAGCTCCAAACTCCTCAACGGCTGTCTCAGATTCAACAATTTGAACATCAGAAAAATTATTCGCGACTCCCGAGAATAATTCTGGTTCCTTTTCACCGCTTGGTGATGTTTTAGGAGAATTGGTGACATCTTGCCTCATTGAAGTTCCCACTTCAAGATCCTGACTGTAACCGAGATCGAGTCTCTTTCCCGGTGAGAATATAAGAATCTTTGAGGTGCACTTCCTGAGCCAAGACATAGTTTTACCAGCAGCAGGAGATCCCGATTTAGCCACAGCAGGAGATGATGACTCAGCATTAAACTTCCCAGCCTCCTTCAAATAATCCTCTGCTACCTTTGGCAATGGAGGGGCGGCCTCAAGGTTTCTAGGTTCGGTTAGAGCATGAAGATCAGAGAGCATAAACTCACGAATTGTCTCTCCGCATATGTTACAGTTCTGCTGTTTCTCAGCAAATGCAATGAAACGCTCTCTTTCACTGATAAGTTGTTCTCTCTGATCCTTCAGCTTCTGGCTTAAGCTAACCAGCTCTTCTATGTCTTTTTTCATCCCGAGTTGCTGAGACTCGATACGCGTCTTGTTTTCTGAAATATCTCTTCGTTCTTTCTCCATTCGAAGCCTTTCCAAGCTCACCTCCTCCATTTCTCTTCTGGCCACTTCCCGCAAGTAATTGATATTGTCGAGTTCCTTTTCCTTCTCCTGTTCAAACACTTGTTCCTTATCGTGCAAAGAACTCTTTAACTCCTCCTGCTTCCTCTGGAATTCAGCCTCGAGTTCCTGTTTTCGGACTTCAAGATCATGAATCAGTTGACTCCTTTCACTCTGGACTTTTTCGGCCAACACTGACTTCTCATGCTCCATTGTAGCAGCAAAAGAATCCTGAGCCAGTTTAAGAGCTTCTAGTTCCCTCTGCACGTACTTTTGTTTTTCCAGCTTCTCATTGTTTAGCCTTTCTTCTTCGGACAGCCTTAGTTTCTCCAGATGATTTTTCTGTTCAAGGACATCCTCTTCCTCTTTCTTTATCTGGGCTCTTTTATTATCCAGCTCTTCCCACTCTTTCTCAAATCTCTCCTTCTCTTGCTTCAAATTGTCTGCTTCCTTCATTAGTTGCTCACTTTCGAACCTGTATTTGCTTATCTCCTCTTTCAGTTCTGATTGCAGACGAGTAAATTCTGTTCTTTCATCTTCAGTTATTTTTAGCCGGTCACTCTCTTCATTTAATTTCAGCAGCTGGCTCTCTGTGTCAGCCTTAAGATTATCAAGGTCAGCCTTGAGACTGAGTAAGTCTTGCTTTTCTTCAAGCACTAGTTTCTTTTCTTTCTCCAAGTTCTTCTCCTCAACTTTAAGAGACTTCTCCCTTTCCTTCAAAGCTTTCGATTTGGAGTCGATATTTGTTTCCTTTTCTCTCACTTTCTCCATTTTCTTTTCAACTGCCTGTTCCCGTTTCTTCACTTTCTCTTCCATGTGTGAGATTTCGGCTTCCTTCTTCTCCACCTCAGCCACCTTGTCTTTCAACTGCTCGTCATTTAACTTCCTCTTCTGCTCCATCTCCAACTCAAACTCTCTCTGCTTCTCGGTCAGGATACGTTGATGTTCGTCCAACTGTTTCTGAATCTCCAACTACATACAGTACAAAATTAAGCAGTCAAAAAATAATCAGAAGACATGAAAACTTGTCAGGCAAGTCACTCAAACTTGAAAGTGAACAGATCTACTCACTTTTTCCCTGGTGTTCAACTTTTCTTCCAACTCCAGTAATTGCTTCTCTCTTTCTTCTAATCTTTTTCTAGCATCAACAGCTTCCTGCTAAACATAAATAAATAAATTAACATTCATGGCTATCAGTAAAGTAAAAAAATATTTACCAACTGTCCACATTAATACTTGCCTGCTCTTTGAGAGCTAGGCTTGCGTGTCTTTTGCTTATATCTTCTTCCTTGCTCTTCAAAGCAGAATCATCAATCTCAATCTTCCTCCGTAGTTCTTCAAGCTCCATCTGTTTTTCCTTCAAAAGATTATCATTATCGTTCGCCTTTTTCTCCCTTTCGTTCAGCAATCTTCTGCCATCAGCTAGCCTCTCCTCTGCTTCCTTCAACTTCCGGTCCCACTCCCTCAAGTCTTCCCTTTGCTTAGACATAGAAGTATCACGTGCCTCACGCCTGGAAAAAACAAATAAGGTTTTCAAGTCAGACTAAGAAAATATGACATAAACCGCAGTCGAGCAGAGAAAAAATTGAAAATGTGAGAAAGGGAAATAAAGCAATAAGAGAGCTAAAATCCTCGAGCATACTCTGTAGCAAAGAGAGAACGTTCCCTTTTAAGCGCATTTTCTTGAGCCTCCAACTCATGCAGTTTCCTCTCTATCTCTGAACTCTTCCTGCTGACCTCAGCAAGTTTGGCGTCAACAGCATGGAACTTTGCCTCGACCTCCAATGATTTCTCTTCAACACTTGTGACTAATGCATTAGCCTCAGCCAATTTGGAATCCGCATTGAACTTAATTTCAGCATGTTCAGAGCGCATCTCACGTAAAGCCTTCTCAAGCTGAGGCAACCAACAAAAAGCATTAAAAGTAAGTGAGCTAGGAGCCTAGGACCATTTGGGCTGATAGCAAATTTGTTCTAAAATACTAAAAGTAACAACAAATATAGGTATCTCATGAACGAGAAATAACTTTCCTATGATTTTAAAACAAACAAAAAAACTGCCTAACCAATTTTCAAAATATCTGCTGTATAATCCATTTTAATTCTAACACACTCACACGCACAAACAAAAATGCTTGAATTTATGGAGTTACGGAAGTAAGATGACAAAAATAGCTCATTCTTGTGCTTCCACATCCAAAACATAACTAGCTAGTTGGACTGTGGTCCGTATATAAAGAGAAATAGAACATTACATTGTGTATACAATGGTAAATGGCAAAGCAAGCATAATATTTATACACATAATGTTACATAAATGAACAGAAAAAACAAACTTATAGCATCTTATCCGAAATAAGATCAATTAAAAGATTCAAGAAACCTAGGTACGCTTCTTGATGAGAACCACAAAGATTCAGGAAGTGCAAATCTTACATCAAGCATAGACTGCCTTTCAACACCCAAAGCTTTCTTCAAATTCTCTTCTCGTTTCTCCACTTCAGACATTGCACTTGAATGAGATACTCGCTCTCTTTTTAAAGCATCGGATGCATCAGCTAAAGCTTGCGTTAGTTCTTCATACTTCGCATTCCACTCCTTTTTCTCAATCAGCAGAAGGCCCATGTTGTACTGATATTCAAAGAGCTGCAAGGAACAAATACAAAAGACAGAATATCTAAGTAAAAGATCCTCAACAAACTTTGGCGAGCTGGGTTGAGTGCAAACAGCAAACTACTTTTACAGGGACTAGAGCATCACATGATTCATACAGATAACAGTTGAAAACACGATGGACTTTTGATAAAGTTAAAGCCAAAGGAAGGAAATGAAACTAAAGGTTTCAGTAGAGAAAGCAACAACCTTATGAAAAAAGTAAAATAAACAAAGAACCATAAGTTATTCAAAACAAGATAAATACAAGTTTTGCTAATAAATCTAGCTGTCGCAACAAAGAGGCAGTGCTAACTTACATACCCAGTGAGAAGGCTAATTGAGATCCACTGACAAGAACAACAGCAAACACATAAACATCTATAAGAAAACAAACAAACCACCAAAGGCCATGGAAGAATAACAGGATCTGCCACCCATTCCAGAACAGCGTCAACTTCATCTACTTCCAATCCAAAAGAGCAGCTCAAAATTAAAATACTCGCTCCTCAACACAATTTTTAACTGAAATCACGAAACTTCATATAGGGTTTCATGCAAATTTCTCAATAACCTCTCACAAGATTTCTATGGTTTCACTGCCTTCCAAATTACGCTACTTAGGTGGAAGCAATCCAAACTTCCTAAAACCTAAAACTGATCTGAGATAACAAAAACAAATAAAAACACAGTAAACAAGAAAGGTACAAGTAGGTTGAAAACACAGAATAAAAACAATTGGGCATAACACGCGATTGACCTCATTCTCGAGCTTCGAAACCCTATCAGTCAACGCCTCGCCGTTGCTCGGGATTGCAGCACCAGCGTTCGAGCCCGAGCCCGGCCCAGAAACGGACCCGTTCTTCTGGCCCGGCTCGCTCCTCGGCGTCAGCGACCACAGCTTTCTCTGCGGCGTGAACATTTCACGGCGAATCTCAAAAAACCCACCACGACCAACAACAGAAAAAACTCAGCAAACGACCCGGTGATTTTTCGGGCCCGGACGTGCACACAAAAGTAAACCCTAAATTACAAGAAACCCAGGTGACGGACCCAAATTTCGGCGAATGGGGTGCTGCTAAATCCGGCACCGTCTCGAGAAAACCAAGCTCTCTCTCTCTCCCTCTCTCTCTCTCTCTCTCTCTCTCCCTTTTGTGCCTTTTTTCTCGCTCCTCTTAGCCACCTTTCGTGGTGTGCGCAGATCAATCACGTTCCTTTATTATTATTTTCTAATTAATAATGTTTTTTTATATGCCCGACAGCAATTCCTCAGACTAAAACTACCATTTTGCCCATGGAAAATTTGTTTATGTCCGTTAAGTCGGGGTATTTTGGGAAACTTGCGGGGCCGCCTTTGTGTGAGCAACTGGGTGTGGAAATTTGTTGGACAAAAGTACCCTTCAAAATCAAAGGTCAATTGGGTACTACGTAAAAAAATAAAATATAGGGGTATTTAATATACCAGTTTAATGAAGGGAATTTATACCAGTGATTGTGGACCGTGTGTGTTTGGATTTAATTATCTTGGGAATGTGGAAACTGATTTGAGTGCTTGACTGTACTTGAAGATAACTCAATTTGTTGTTTAGTGAAAAAAACGTTTTAACTATGGAATTCTTTCAATCTTTTGTGATTTACAAATTTGAGAATCATTTTTTTTCGAAAATACATTAAAGCAATATAATAGTTGCAAATTATATTTTTAAGAGCATTTCGTAGATGTGTGCTTTTCCTAAAGAAATGTTTTCGTTTATGCTAAGAAACCATTTATTTATGCTTGCACTACACAAGAAAATTATGACCCAACGGTCACTTTTATACTTTTTACTTTTTTTTTTTTTTTCTTTTTATGACTTTTTATCTGATTTCAGTGTGCTGACATGTATTATCAAAACCAATAATTCAAATATTAGTAATACATCATTTTATCAACTTAATTTGGCAAACTGGTTACTGGTTAGTTCTTTTTCTTTTGTTTTGAAGATATATGCACTATCTTTCCTTGACATTTTTTCTTGTTTATGGTAATTAAGGTGATAAATAAATAAAAGATGTATAGTTTGAATTGTAATGAAAATATGGGTACTTATAAAAAATATGCTCAAAATATGGGTACTTATTAGTTTTGATTTTTTTCTTTCCTTAATATTTTAATCCATCCATACAACATTTCATATATATTTAAAAAACTAATTACTTTTATAATTTTTTTTAAAAAATTTGTCAATTCAACTTTGCAGTATACATAGCCAACACTGTTTGACTGATCACATCTAGTCTAGCAAGTCATAAAATCAAAATAACCAATCAATGACTCTTCATTAAATTTCACTGAGAAAAACCCACTACACGTCGAATTTTCATGCCACTTCATATCTATACTTATATAATAAGAATTAACATTTATCCAGAATAGTAGGTCAAATCCAAATTATGGTTAATGTCGAATTTGCATTAAATATTTTCTAAAACTGGTAAGTTTTTGTCCTTTTCACACTTCTCATTAATTATGTCTTTTTCACACTTCTCATTAATTATGTCCTTTTCAGACTTCTCATTAATTATGTCATTTTCACACATCTAATTAATTCATTAATTACGACATAATTATCATAAATCATTCCATCTGAGCTTTTATCGTTAAAATGTATAGCGATCTGTTATGACCCTATCCCATTGATATTTCCATGAAACGTCATTATCGCGTTCTTTTTTTTTGGTAACCACTCTATATCAATAACCGGATATTTGGTTAATGATAGCACACGTCTCTATTTCAAGGGGCGGATATTCTTTTACCTTTAATTAATTTGAACTGATTGTCTTGACTTTTCAACTTTTAAAAACTCTTTTTTTAAATATTTCGGCTTAAGATTCGGATTTCATTATACAAGTCATCGGATTGTTTGAATGAAAATTAATGAAAAGAACACCAAAAACAGGTAGCCTTATTCATATAACCAATCCTAAAATATTAGTTTATTTACCAAAAAAGAGACAAATCTTAGAAATCCTAAAATGTTAGTTTGTTCACCAATCCTAAAATATTAGTTTGTTCACCAAAAATATTAGTTTGATTTTTAGGATTTGTCTCTTTTGAAAATATTAATTTGTGATAATGAGGAGTTACCAAATAATCAAACTCATAATGTTGTGTACAAGGAGGTTTTTAATAATACATGATTGTTACCGAACTTTTTATGATTCAACAATGTTCCTATGTATTTTAATGATTCCAATTTCGATCCTAATGCACGTGGGGTTATATTATTCTTCCAAACTTTACATTCCGTGCATAGCACAGGTTACGTACTAGTAATATAATAAATAAGATTTGAACGAATATGATGCGATTATAAGTCATTTCTTTGAAGAAGGGTCCACAAAAAAACTGGTCTTATTTGTAATCAGTGTTTTCTATGGTTAAATTGATACTTTGATAGTGAGTTATATGTTTCTTTTTAAATAGTGAGCCCACAATTATACCGATCAAGTCACTGCACAAGTTCAACTGGTTTATCCTGTGTTATACCAGTTTTAATAATTATTAATTAAATGTATTATTCTATTATAAATAATATATAAACTAACTTTATTTCATACTAAAATTTATTAAAAATCTATAAAGATATTGAAATGAAGTACAGAAAATTTTTGAAAAAAAAAAAAACTTGATAAAAAATATATTTTAAAAAAAATCCGGTATTATCCTGAATTTTGGTCAATATTTTCGATAAAATCGGTATTTTTAGGTATGAAACCAGTAGAAATTGATATTTTGCAAAGATGGTACTTAATGAGTCACCGTAACGATCAGACCACCGATATCCTGAGTTTAAAACATTGTTTTACTTGTTAGTTTCCAATTTTATTGTTCGCTAAATTGCCGAGAAAAGTTAACTTTGCAAAACTCAACAAAAGATTTTTCTTTATAATAGGTTATTATAAAATTAATAATTTTTATACATCAAATACCCATTATTTACAGATTCTTGTGCATAATCAGTCAATCAAATCATTTAGTCAAAAAATGATATTCCAGTATGTTATCACAATCCACTAATTCAATGAACTCTAATTTATCTCTTTTGTGCTAAGTGTGAAACAAGGTCTTTCTATGTTAAAGTATAATTTAATTAATTCCAGAAAACTTTATAATTGTGCATTGTATTACAAAATACATTCATTGAGGTATTTAATTTGATTTTTGTGTATAGCTTCTACAGGGCACGTATACTCTTCTATATTTGTATAATACATTCATTGAAGTGATTTGCAGTAGTGAATAGTCACAAAAAGATTGATCATTTATCACATTTCAGCTGTTGTACATTTTGATTTTTGCAGAGATAGTAAATTAGTAATTAATAGGAAAAAACCGTTGTTGTCAAGTTGATTTGTAGTTGTTTTTCTATTCACAAGCAAAATTTTTACTTAAGCTATATTTGATTATGATTTCAATGGTAAAATTGGATATATAGCTTTTTCATATGTTAATGTTCTGCGTTTTTCTTTCTTAATTNAATCGAAGGTGTTTGCTCTGGAGATTTTAGTCATTTATTAATTCTTTTGCACCGTGATATTATCCTGAGGTACATTTTTCTAAGAATCGACCAATAATGAAGAAGTGTATCATTAATGAGTTGATTAAGCAGTGCTTTGCTTAATGGTGTGGTCCTGTTTTGATCATAAGTCATAAAGGAAGAATGGTGAATCATGTGAATGTTAGGTCTCTGTGTAGTTAATAAACAAGAAGATAGCTCATTTGACAGTGGTCCATAACACAAAAAGGGAAACTTTGCAACAATATGGTTGTTCTAATAAATTAGCGAAAACCGCTGAACATCATTTTCGTCTCGTTTATGTTTTTAATAATCACCCGCCGCAAAATCTTTCGACTCCTTGCATCATATTTGAACATGGATATGGGCTTTTTCATGCATTTGTTGACATCTGTCGACTGTCAGCATGCGAACTTTTTGTTTGGTAAGCACCATAAACTATATCTTGTAGCTTATTTAGTTAAATTATAATAAGTTGTATTATATTTTACTAAATCTTGTTTGATAGGATGAACCTTTTGAAAAAGCTCGGTATATATCTCATATGAGTATGGAGGCAGTCAGGTAGCGCTTTAGAATAAAGTTCGCATTGCCAAAATTCTCATTTTGCATTAGAATCTCAATATTTCCTGATGGCATATGTTAATATTATCTCAACTTTTCTATTTTTAATCTCAAAATTTAAAGGCGTATTGATTGACTGTGTTTTCTGGATGGCAGTGCAACTTCCTTCTGTTGATAGACACACAGATTGAAGCAAAAGGGGAAAGATACATTTTTTTTTTTTTTTTAATTTTCCTGATGCAGCAAAATCTTTGTTGTCTCTGTATATTTTTCTCATACATTAACAGCTTTATGCAATCTTGGTTTCTCATACATTTCATATGCAATTTACAACACTCATTGTGAAGTAGAACAAACAACAAACTACAATTCATTTGACATGAAAAAAATGAAATGTGAATTTTCGATCAATTCTAGCACAAGTATCCCTGTCCTGAACTTCCAATCAGAAACGCGAAAAAACCCACAAGGATGGACTATTCGAAAAGAATCACCAAAAAAAAAAAAGAAACAAAATCAGAGCAAATAAAACTATCGACAATGAGGATACGTTCCAAAATCTGCCGGGAGAGGCTGAATTTTTGCACTCTTCACATAGTTTAACTTACTTGGATCACAAACAGCTTTATTCCGAAAAAAGACAAAAAAAATGATGAGGATCCAATTGAAAACACAGATACTCTAGATGTGATTACAGAGATGATACAGAAAGCCGCTTTTGCTTCCAGAATTGACTCGAAAAATCTCCACGAATGTAATGTGTAATGCTCTTAAACTCTTATTATGACCATAAGTGTTCTCCACTATATTCTCGCACAATAACAGGGACACTTGTTGGTGGGATCTGTAAACATCAAATTCAAACATAAGTCAGCACAAACTTAACTTTATTACGTGGTACCATTTACCTTGAAATTAAACCAACTATTCACCAATGAAAGACACGTAAAGACATTACAATGAAAGAGATATTTAGGCCGTGTTCGGTAAGCATATAAGCTAGCTTATAGCTTATTTGATTAGCTTATAAGCTTCCCGTATTCAAATACGTTTTGTTTGGTAGGGCGAGCTTTTTTAAAAAACTCGAGCTTATCTCATAATTGGGTAGCTTTTTCAAATAAGCCCATTGGAATTTTTATTTCATCTTTAATTTTACCAAACACTTCTAGCTTATCAGCTATGTTTACCAAACATAGCCTTAGTGACTTGAGTGTCTGGTTTCTCTCTTTCTTTTATTTTTTTCTCTACATTTTTTTTTTTTTAAATTTGAGAGAGTTTTAAATGCTCAAGTCGAAACCGCATAGCAAACAGTAGAAAAAAGAGTTTACTGTATTTGACTTACCATGCCATAGTCGGTTATAATCATCGACACATACTCTGAAGGCGTTGCATCGTAACTGGTACAGTCCCAAACACCCAAAAAAAAAAAAATGTCAAACAATATAACATCATCAACCAGCAGAGTACCCTTAAAATCTATCAGGGAAAAAAAAGACTCACATCAGGTTCAAGAGTTGTAGATTTTCACTATTGGCCCAACCATCCAAATCACAGATTTCCCTTCTACCAGAAACCTTCGAAATAGCATCAGGATCACCTAAAAAACGTTCGTGAAAACCAAATTTCAAAATCCACAATACGTTACAACATACACCCTCGATCCCAATTTAATCGTAGTTCTACATTTTGGCACAGTAGTTAAGCCAAAATGATAAAAAGTATGATCTTTTTCAAATTTCTAGGCATTTTTGTATTCAACATAACCTCATTTAAATTTTCAAGCTAAATAAAATATCATATAATTTGAGACAGAGGGAGAAGTACTAATTAGCCACGCAATCTGGCTAAAAAGACTTACCAAGCTCATTAGAGCAAATTGAATCGAGTTGAACCCTCTTATGAAACTTGTACGCTTCACAGCACACCAAAACCGGGACCCGAAAATGATGTGCCACCATGGCAACACAAGCTGTGCCGACCCTCGAGTAAACTGTCCCATTAGACAAAACCGATGAAGCCCCCAAAAACACCCGAGTGACTTCATGCATGACATAAGAAACAGCATTAACGTGAGTGTACGTGCAGCTGACCCCTTTCCCCACAAGCCTACGCAACAACTTTTGTCCTTCGAGCTTCGGGCGTGAATCAACTATCACCACACGGAACTTTTTTCCAAGCTCGTGTGCGTGAAGAAAAACCAACTCAACTGCAGAGGATGAACCGTAAGTGAGAAGTACATCGTTGTCTCGAATTTTGGCCACTGCATGCTTCACGATCACTTTATCGGCTAGGATTATTTTCTCGTTTATGAAATTATCGATTCCGGATATGAGATTGGCTTTAGCCTCCGACTCAGAAAGGGTTAGGGGCAAATGGGCGACTCGGTTTTTGAGAAACCTGATTGCATTGCCCATGCTGATTGAAAGGGGCCTGCACTCGATCAGGAACGAGACATAACTATTTATTTTTGCGGTTAGGTCCCTTATTAGGGACTTTTCGGGGGGCGTGCTGTAATCCTTGATGGCCTCTTGGAAGGATTGAAGCATGGCAATACATCGGGCATTGCCGCCTGATATGTCCCCAGATAGGTATCTCAGTCCAACCTGATATGTGTAATTAAAGGAAAATCATAAAAACAAATTGAAGTTCGATTTTTTTTTTTTTTTAAGATTTTTCCATCAGAAAATAAATACTTCAAAATAAAGAGTGATATTTGTTTATAACAATATTAAAGCTATCTTTCAAATTGAAGACAAATAAAGCCTCAAGCAGGTTTTCGAGAACTTCAAATGACGGTTAGTGGTTCCATAATACCTAAAAAATTATTACAAAATGATAATACAAGCCTTTTGTGCCCAGGATTTAGTAATTTACTGAGAGCTTCTGATATTACCTTGTAAACAGCAGGATGAACTTGATCGAGTTGGAAGAATTTTGATTCCAGCTCAGGAAGCTGAGTCCCATGTTCATACTGTGGTAAATGCCTAAACAGTTCGACTCGATTTTTTGCTTCGGTTTGTTTTACTACGGAACGTTTCTTTGCTTTCTCAACTCGAGTGGCATCATCAAATTGCATACGAGGATTGGGGGCATCTTTCTTCCTGTCTTTATCTGGTTGGCGATCAACACCTTTTTTCTCAGAGGGTGCAACTGAAGAGCTGTCTTTCTTTTGTGATACAGCTTTCAGTGATTTTCCTGTAGTGGCATTAGCCTGATTGATGCCAGCAGCAGCAGCAGCAGATGACTTACTACCTTCACCTATATAGATGAAATTTTCTACTAATAGTATGAGAACCTCTTCAAAAAAAGATTTTCTTAATAGGATAAAACATAGAGTCTCCAATTACATAAGATAAAATTTGAAATAAGTTATTAATAAAATACCACAAAAGAAAGCTAGCCAAAATTCTCCGTAGAAAATTATCTATCGACAACGATAAGAAAACCTCACAGAAAATCGCAAAAAGGGAGCAACAAGAGTGAAGTGCATGATTCTTTAATTATATACTCATCAGTAGGAAATGAACTCTAATGTATGTCGAAATTACTGCAGTGTCATAACATACATGTGCAAGAAAAACGTTGTTCTCTGAAATTGGTATAGGAAAGAAACACCTGAATCAAGTTCACTACCAAAGGCAATATGATATATGAAAATTAAGTATTATCCAATGGCCGATCTTTAATCGAGCAATAACTGAACTTTTATCCATTTCAAAGTTCTAGCAATATAATATCATCAGTCAACAGCATTGACTGCTAATCAACTATAACTGAAACTGAATTTAAGATGACAAAACAGGAATAGAATAAGACTTCCAATCACTAACCTCTAAACCTGGCCAAGGAAGAGCTTCAGGGCATAAAACAAAACATAGAGAGGCACACTATTTGCACCATTCCTTGATTCACAAGAATAATGAAGGAGAAAAAATACACTGCGATGACCAACAAGAAAGGTCCATAGATTTTCATCCCCTATCCCAATCAAGATTCCCTTAGGAATAAGTACACTTCCCTTATAGGTACATTGTAGCCATCGATGGATTTGAACTCATCACAATGTGGTAAAGACGTCAGTTATACCTAATATGGTTACAAGATGAATTGTCGCCACTCAGCACCATGCTTTTTCGTGACTGGACTAGTTGGAATAGTGGGAGCTCTTTTAGGCATGATGGAAAGTGATTGTTTATTTATTACATGATACAAAAGGGTAATGTGATATAAACTAATAATCAAGACTAAAAAATATATTAACACATCACCAACTATAAATATACATATATTTGTATACATAATGAAATGAAGAAATTATAATTACAACTTACATCTAACCAATTATACAGTTTACGAGATTCTAAATAATATTAGCTTTTGACTGCTGTAAGCCTTAAACTGAAATCCAATTCCTTTGACCATAATTAGAAGTTAGACCGCCCGGTATTTGATCCGGTTTGCACGATATTGTGTTTCATTCTATATCGTTTAGATGCCCTTTAAAAAGCATTCTAGACAATGAAAGTCAGGATTTTGATCCACCTAAGCTTCTCGCCTTTCCACGATGATATCAAATGGCACATGAATAATAAATGGGATCTAACCAATCATTTTTTTACTTCTCAATAAAGATCTTTGCATAGACAAATCAGCAGATTTACTTACAAAAACACAAAGTGATTCTAATGGTAGTAAAGACCTAAAACTAACATAAAACATGACAAGCGTCAAACAAAATCAACACCAAACAAACTTGCAAAAACATCTCCGAAAATGCCAAAAAATTAGCATCCAATGTTTCTACCTTTAGCAGCAGCTTTTGCAGCTCTTTGCGCCTCTTGGATCGCCCGTCTTTCAGCTTTTGTTGTCTTCTCCTTCAATGGCTTTGTATCAGCTGAACTCTGCTCCTTCGGCATTTCAGCTTTTGACTCTCCACCTATTCCACCATTCGTTTAAATCCCAAATCAACTATCACGTCTAAACACTCACTAAAAAGAGATCAATATGACCAAAAAAAAANTGAACTCCGACGGGTTGTAGCTGCCGGCGGGGATAAACGAATCGGCAGGGCGGGAGACGACGCGGAGGGGGGAGAAGTCCGGTGGATGGGGAAAGTGGCGGGAGAGGTCGGCGGAGACGTGGCGCGGCGGCGGGATCATGACGGGGGACAGGGAGTTGCCGGAGGGGGAGAGATCGGACGCCGGCGGCGGGGCGGCGGCCGGGCCCGACTGGGTGCGGTCGGGAGGGGCGAAGAAGCCGACCTGCCGGACCTTGGGGTCGATGACGGTGCGGGGAACGCGGCGAGGGTCCATGGCTTGGATTGGGGGGGTTTTCTTCTCTTAGCTCCCCTTTGATTTTGCTTGGGTTTTCTCTTTGTGTGCCGCTTTGGATTTCTTGATTTGCCGGCTTATTGTCTGTAATGGAGGTGAGGAGAATCTAGGGTTCATGAGGTGGGAATAGGATTTTTACAGGTGATTTGGTTTACTGTGGGTAGTGGGCTCACTGGTGAGGGCGACATTAGTGGCTTTTGCTCGTCTTTTTCGAGTTTTTCTAGCTAAAAAACGAGCACTATGTTTGGATAAGGAGTGCATTATTTTTATTTTTCAGTCGTTTATGGATTTCTTTTTTATTTTTCATTTCTCTTTTCCATCTACAAGGGGAAAAAAAATATTAGACGAAACGAGTTGTTTGTTAACTCGCCTTTGACTTGTTTCGTGTTAAGGCTCGAACTTGACTCGTTAATATTGATAAAACGAGTCGAGTTCATGCTCGATTATTGTCTCGTTCAATTAATGAGTCGAACTTGACCCGATAAGTTCACACCCCAACAAGTCAGAGTGGAATCGATATATACAATTGTTTGCAAACAATTATTTTCGTTTTCCTACTCTTTTTTGTTACGTTTTGCATTAATTAAGTAAGTATATTTTTTATTTATTTTATTTCATAATAGCTAACTAGTCATAAAGTCATTAAATAATATATTTTAAAATCCTTTATTCTTCAAATTATTTGTTTATTTTTTTATTTATTCAATTCATTAAGCAAGTTTATTATTAAAACTAATTAATTATTTTTTTATGGCATAACCAAGCCTTTTAAAATTTCGTATGCAATTACTATAATTTTAATATTATTTTATCTAATTAATATTTTATAATCAGTCAAGATTGCAAAAATCATATTATTGCAATCCGTATGAGAATTAACACGTAAGTTAAATAGTTTATATTTATATCGTTCATTTTACTAGTGATATGATCATATTATAACTTATGACTTTAAATATTACACACATGCATACAATATAAAAAATTTTATTTGTATTTGGGATCGAATACTAGTGAGATACTTAACACGTTTGATTGTTAGGGTGCTAGAAAAGTTAATTTATATACTTAACATGGTTGTGTGTCTAAGAGCACCCACAATGCTTTGGGTCTCTTTAAAAAAAATCAATGCCATGTAAGAAGTGGACCTAGTCTAACTTATGTGACAATGAAAAAAATAGACCAAGTCCACTCTTGGGTCTATTTTGGACCTAAGTGTGAACCTGTACAATCAGCAAACATTTACTATTATTATATTTTTATCGGTTGTTAGGTATTCTAGATCTAGTATTTTTTTTTTTTTTTTAGATAGATTTTGAATTTTTTTAGCTTGGGTTTGTCCATGTCATTATAGACTTAAGTTTATTTATTTGTCACATATACAAAAAGAAACCCAAAGCATTGTGGGTGTTTAAGGGGTTTGTTCTAGTGAGTCTTATGGCATGTATGGTCCATCGATGACATTTGTCTTCCATTTTTCTCCCACCAGACACCACCAGTGGAAATGTAAGTGCACACTTTCACATAAGAGAAAAAATTGAAGCATCATGTTGGTTTTGAGATGAGAATGTCAGTTTCTTTTTTTTTTTTTTATTTAAAAAAACAATAATTTT